TAATATGAGAAACCTAATTCTGCATGAAAAATTCGAAGAGTTAAATGCAAAAGTATATTGGTTACACCAATTCTTTACATATAGTTACTAAATTTGTCAAGTATTAGTAACTATTTTGTCTCAATTTTTATTAAAAAATCGATTTTTTTTTACTAGTCTTGGTCTTGGTCTTACAACAGATAGGCGGTGTTGGTCTTGATCTTGCAAAGTGCAAGACCAAGACCAATTTGGGGCAACACTAGTCTTGGATAATATGTAAGCTTTCAAATAAATATTTATTCTTTCTTGTCACAAACCTTCTATTCTACACTTAATATCATCTCGATTTTGCCATTATTGCAATATATTGATAAAACATTAATCTTATTGCAGTTTTTAATTGTTGTATTATTACCCCGATATTTTTTTTCGAATTCGGTATTCCTTTGAAGATACTCATAACAAGAGCCTTTTCTATTAAAAATAGTAAGCATTGAATTAGTTTTAAACATTTTTTATACACTTTGTGATAGATTCCCTTTTGCTTGATGGCCTTCATTTTATACTAATTTAAATAATTTACAGCACTAGGTCTGACCCTGAAAAATTAATTTAATTGATAATTTGTGTGGAAAGGATACATGAATGTAACAAAACCTAAATAGTACTTATTGTTAGTTAGATGTACTGCATTCAACACCCTTATGGATTGTAGAGATACCTGGATAACTGTAAAAGTATTTGGGAGTCAACCATTTTTAATAATATAATGCTATGATTATAATTTATTTTTTAGGATGGGTTTATAAAAATGGATTTATATAAGAGCAAATTTATGAGAAATAAAAGAATTATGAAAATGGGAAAAATAACCCGTAACGTTGTCTAATCTGTTGAGAAGAAATATATGAAATAATTTTAAAAGGGTTAAATTTTATTTTTATATCTTCTTCTTTATAACTTCTTCTTTATTATAAAAATGTATGTTCTTAAAAAATCTGCTGGTGCTCCTCAGTTATATCCTATAAACTGTTTATAAAGCTAATAAGCTTATACAGGTCCAAATCCATAACCCATTTATTGCTTCGAAACTTTTCTGTCATATATCGCAAACCTTGGAAAATGGTGTAGAAATTGTTAGATTGAGCGAGAAATCGACAATTTCAGCGATGTAGAACACTTGTATTTCTTGGACCAGCTAAGCGACCCTTACACGGTCATTCGTGAATGAAAGTCACAAGAATGGCAAAGATTGTTCGGGATCGCTTTGATCATGAAGACCCTTACACGATCAATCATTACTGATCATTACTTATCGATGCTGAACCCAATTTAGCTCAGTTATAAACAAAGAAACAGCATAGATAAGTTTATTTGGAAATTCTCCTTTATAGTATTGGTCATCAGGACGAAAATGGAGATATAATAAATACTTCCTAGTGCCTGAAAATCGTTTAGGCCAAAGTTTTAGGACTTATTCCCAAAATTTAGGAAAAGTATTGCGAAAATACTCAATTTATTAAGAAAAATGGAAAGATTAATGACAAATAAACACAACAGTTAAAGATTTTTTTTCTAAAAGTAAATTGTGAAGATTCCACTTTTTTTTTTTCAATTTATGCCCACTTGACTATTTAAAGAAAAAATAGTTGAAAATGGTTTATAAAAATATAAACTAGGTATAAATATAAATCACTATTTACTTTTATATATATATATATATATATATATATATATATATATATTAATTTACTGTGACTAATAAATTAACTATTTACAAAGTCCTCATTAAACCATTATGGACATATGGGATCGAACTATGGGGAACAGCAAAGAAATCAAATATAAAAATCATTCAGTCATTCCAGTCAAAAGTCCTTTGGAAAATTGTAGACGCACCCTTTTACGTTTCAAACCTCACGTTACATACTGACCTTAACACTCCTTTCATCACGGCAACTGTCACTGACCGCTTTAATAATTTTCATGACAGAGTGACTCTAAATTCCAATCCACTTACTCAAGCTCTATCTACTGCCACAAATCCATATAATCCGCCCAGAAGACTGCTGAGGTGGTGGCCAAGAGACTTATTGCATTGAGCTACTTGCTGCATTATCTTTTTTGTGTGTGTATTTGTTATTATGTTATAATGTATGTGTTATTTTACTACGTTTTTGTTTGTTTTGTTTTTTGTCTTTTTGTTTTGTTATTCTTTTCCTTGATATCATATTTGCTGAATACCAAGGTAGATGGCAAATTTATATTTATTCATTTATTAAGGGGCATCTTTTTGTGAGCCACAAATATGTACAACTGATAAATAAATAAATAACTTTTATGAAACTATTTACTTAAAAATGAGGCCTAGGTAAACTAACCTATCTAGTAGTAAGGTTAATCACATAGAAAATCGTTTTGACAAAAGTTAGTAAAATACAAGTCTCCTACTTACAAAAATTAAGAGAAGGTATTTTGAAAATAATAAATTTGTTGAGGAAAATATGAAAACAACTGACAAACATACACAACAGTTAAAGATCAATCTTTTTCTTTAAGTAAATCGTGAAGTTTCCACTTTTTTTTTTTTAATTTGTTGCCCTCTTGACTATTTAAGAGAAATAGTTGAATATGGTTTATAAAATATAAACAAGAGACATGAAAAACTGTTTAACTATTTACTTTTAATAAAAATCAGAAATTTATAATGGTTTTGAGGCATAGGTATAGGTATAGGTATAGGTATAGGTAAACCTATCCAGGAGTATGGTTAGTCTCCCCACTACTTTTACCTCAGTCCCCCCTCCACTTCTCGTGAATGAACCTATAATTTCCGGATATTCGGAAATCCGACAGACACCTCCATCAGTACTTAATTCACTACCTTACACGATAATTCGGAACTTCATTATTGTCTCGGAATGCAATTCCGAATTACCGTGTAGGGTTCCCTTTATGATTCTGCAGTATTGGATTAAGATGCTCCTCCTCCTCTGATCAATCATCCTGACCTCTGAAGTAAAATAAAGTTTATGTGTGTGTAAATAATAACCTTAATGACATCTTAATTGTGCATACACTGTACTAGCCATCTTCTTTTTACATTTCTTTTATAATCACTGCCAGATTATTCGAAAATCCATCTGCTAACAGTGAAGGAGAACATTGTTGTAGGCCTCTGACAAAAAGGCGCCTCCTCTCAATAGCCTTTTTTTTTGTGACTGGGTTAATTAGTATAAGGACGGCGTTTGAGGAGGAAAACTATAAAAGGATACGGCGTAAAAAATGCTAATGCTAAAAGAACGAGGCTATTAGGAAGTTCGTGGAGTAGTAAATCTAAAGTAGGCATAAACACTAGGCCCTATTTACATTGTCTTCTTCGGGGCAGCAAAAAAGAAAAAGCGGTCCGTTTGAGTAAGTCAGCGGTAGGGTCCTCACTTGTGAGCCCTGCTTTACGATCATCGCTATCCAATCCGACGGTCGTAAAGGGGTCGTAAAAGGGCCGTAACGTTTCGGGGGTCACCTAGTCACTATCGAAGGCCCTGCGATGACACGGCAAATAATGCCAAGGGCACATGCTAGTCAAAATGTAGTACCGACTCAGCTTAAGCAGTAATAGCGGAACATAGTAAGTATACATTGGATCATGTATCAATCACAAATCTTCACCATTGTCTGAAATTAGTTCAGATCTTGTATTCCTATTCAGATGTACTCTTAAATATATGTGACGACAGGGAAGAATTAGGTAAATGTAAAACAGGACTTTCCAGGAAGGCTTTGATTTGAACTATACAACTCAAATTGCGTTCAAAATTTAATGATTTGAAGCTCAATCAATTTTAGATAGTTTGGGAGATGACTATAGCTTACGTAAGTTGTTATAACCGTTTTTCAACTAATCAACTTATTTTCTAGGACCATATATATATATATATATATATATATATATATATATATGGTCCTAGAAAATAAGCACATAGTATAATAATAGGCATAAAATAATAGGCACCCACTTTGGTGCACGAGCGGGCTAATGCGTGTGCACAGCACCGCGTTGCCCGGCAACCTGTGATAATCGAAGTTATAGATGTGAAATAATTACGAGTTCGCGTCCCTGTTCCACGGGGAAGGCTTTTAACTCTGGCATTAATCCCCTGCCCTGACCCCCTGTCCCGGAAAAAAAACTCGTATATACTAAAATGCAAGAGAGGAGTACAAGTATTTTGGTTGAAACTATATTTAAATCAATCCTTAATGTTCTAAATTTGTTTACTCGCTACTTTTTAATATTTTCTGAACCTTCACGTATAACTGACAACTGATTTTGTTGTTTAAAAAATGTGATATAGAGTGAGAATAATGAATAAGAAAAATGACAAATCTAAAAAAAACATATAATTAATACTGGATCTTCAAGCATAGATCATTTATTGAGTAAATCTCTGAGAATATTTTTTTTTATATTTTATATATTTCTTCTGTTTATCTATACATCTACTGTCGAGTTTTATTTTTATTCGTTTGATTTTGTTGAATCTTACTTATGTTCTTTTCAAAGTTTTTCTAATTCTGTTAATTTAAAATATCTCACAAGTTTCTGTTACAAATACAAGTTTGTTTCTTACATTATGTAATTCTATTTTTTATTTGGTTCTTTTTTTATTCTTATACTTATTTGTCCGGAAAAGAAGCGAATATCTATTACTCATTGAAGTACGTATTGCAATCTCAGAAAACATTTGATGATTTTTGCTCCTGAAACCACTCTACATTTTATAGCAGATTGTGATCGGTTTGCATCCGTTAGGTACATCTAGAATCCCGGATTACAAGTATTCCTCTGTAGGAATTATAGAATTATTCATTGATTATTTGAGGTAGACAAAAATGACCAATAGCCCCCCTTGGCGGATGTTATCCTCCAATTATCATTTACCAATACCAAAACTAAACAATGGTTCACTGCATAACAGTCAGTTACTTATTTTTAATTGGGTATCTGTTTTTATCTATTTTAGGTAGTATTGTCTTCAACTTCGTCTTACCCATAACTAGACCAGTCCAAAATGGCAGCGAGTGAGGAAGAAGACGATGACACTCACTTCTGCATCAAATGCCACAAGACTATGCGAGGCTTGGACACGTACGTGGCCCACAGGAAGGCCAAGTGCAGACCTGACCGAGAGAAGAAGGCCCACGACTTCTTCTCCTCCTTGAACCTGCAGAGCAGCAGCAAATCCTTGTGGTCTGCCAGTGCTGCCAGTGACGTCGTAGAGGACCAGGTCATATCCCAGACTTTGTTGATTGATAGATATATAGTTTTATGTTTTCAGCAGGACATTTCTGACTCAATCATTTTCTTGTTGTGAAGGTTGAAGAGAGGAGAGAAATTCCACCACCGGGTCATACTGGAGGAAAATGGAAACCGGAACCAACAGAAATTCCAGAACATCAGGTAGTCCAATAATATTTTTTAGAATAGTCGAATAATATTTTTAATATAGACCAATTTTTATATATGTTTTATATAGTCCAATAATATTTTCTCAACATTATAAATATTCAACTAATCTCAAACTTGTTTTTGACTAAAGATGATCATGAGCATATTATATCCTTCATTATAGCTCTAATTAATTCATTTGTTGCAATATTCGAGAGAGGCGCAGAAATACATCTAGTACCTAAGCATAATTAACTGACATACAATTACTTAACTTGAAACCTTATCGTTTACAACCATTAAAGAGCAGAAAAAATAATATTTCTGATGCAGACCAATTACCGTTAATAGTATCTTGATATTATTCCTTGTGTTTGTTTGTTTTTAAGCTACAATCTTATAGTTTTTTGTCTCAAATTTAACTTAACGATTGGGACTCATTGGTTAACTTCGTTTCCTTAGGTGAGTACACAGGTACCACCTCCAGACCACACCCGGGGTAAGTGGGGCCCGGCGGAGCGCCCATGGGGTCAGCTGCAGAAAGGATACTGGTGTGGACCCTGCAACAGGAGGCTCAGTTCGAGGGTTGTATATGAAAGGCACATCAGGTCGGAGCTGCACTTCAAGAGGACAAACCAGTGGCCGGGGCAGGACCTTGGTCGCAGGAAGAGGGTACGGACCAGAGCCATTCTTTCCACTTCGCTCAAAGCCATCAACAGGAGGTACAGGAAGGTGAGTTATCATCTATTTGGAATTGTCATATCCTCCATAAGTTTTATCCTTTCCATTCATATCTTTTACCGTAGGATAAGCAGCCAAAGGAGCTGATACGAAAAAAAGGAGGCACCATGATGTGTGAGGTATGCAAATGCAAGGTTTGGCCACACCTCATCGGCAAGCACTTGGTCTCTCATTACCACTACAGGCACCGAAAGGCTGGCTCGGAGGCGCTGGTCTTCCAGAACATGGACAGCGTAGTAAGGCAAGCGCCATTCCAGTGTGGCCTCTGCAAGTTCTACACCAACACCTTCGCGGATTTTCTTGAACATTGGGCTTCTGACATGCACCGTCAGGCAGATCTCAAGGTGAGCACTATAAAAAAAAATAGCTCTTGATAATATTTAATAGAGATGAACATGGTAATCAGCATCGATGTATGATAAATGTTTATAAAGAGGTTCTCGTATGGTGTGTAACCAAATAATATTAAAATTATATTGAAATTCAATTTTTATAATCGTAACATTCTTTATTGCAGTTGGAGGGCAGATATTGGTGCTGCATCTGTAAGTGCAGTAGCGATAGCTCTGTGGCCATGGGCTTCCACTTGGAGAGCGAAGGCCACAAAGAGATGGTATCTGTCATTAACAGGTCGGTCCCGATTGTCATCCAGAAGAGGATTTTACTCCAGTGTGAAGTCTGCTCCAGGAGTTTCAGGTTCACTTGTTCAGCTAATAAGTTTCATTATCATCTGTCTCAACAATATCTTACGCAACCATAGCTACATTCTTTCACATTGGATCATAGAAAAAAATTGTACTCTCATGTTCTTACGTGGTTCAATGAAATAGACGAACTGCTCGAAAAAGTGATACTTCCAAAACGACACTATTTCTTGTTATACGTAAAAAATGTTATTTATATTTAGAACCTGAGGTAGACATTAGCTTTAATATTTTGAAAACATAGATCGTTAATAAATCTAGAATTAATCGCACAATGATTTATATATTATATAACTCTTAATATTTTACTTTCATTAATTAATAATCTTTTTTTTACCGGTAAGATTAGATCACCACTAATACAAACGTATACCGCAGGTACAACATGGAACTGAGGGCCCACGCTAGGGCATGGGGCCATGAACAAACGAAGAGTTCAGGATCTGACTCCTACCAAGAAGTTACCGTCTGTGATGATTGCGAATTCCGAGGACACTCCCTTCTCTCTTATCAACGCCACCTGCGGATGAAGCATGGTAAGGAAATACACTTCTGCAGGAGATGTAATGCCCGCTTCGATAGCTTAGAGGAGGCGAGAAGGCACAGGAAGGAGGCGGAACATCGAGATGCCGGCCCCAAGGTTGATAGGCAATGTCCTCACTGCTTCCTCATCGTCCGGGGACTGCTGGCTCTCAAGGAGCACCTTCAGACTGAGCATCCTGATCGACGACATCGCTGCCTTCGATGCGGTGCAGATTTCGTCCTCAAACAGGAGCTGACGCAGCACGTCAAGAACGGACGTTGCAGCCCTAGTATCAGCGACAGAGCCCACAAGTGCACCCAATGTCACTTCTCGACTGATTCGGAGGCCGAGCTTCTGCTTCACAATATCCTCCACCGAGAGCCAGACGAGCAGCAGCGCTATCTGTGTTTTTACTGCGACAAGTATTTTAAGAAAGACACTCTCCGTAATCACGTGAAAGTACATACAACTGAAAGGAACTTTACCTGCCAAATTTGTGAATTGAGGTAAATAATTCGTTATATATCCTTAATTTCTCATTGATTAATATGAAATAAGGTATAATAATAATAAATATGACTTTTCAATACTTTCTTTTCGTTTCACAGCTTCAGTAGAAGGGATGCTTTGGCTAAACACACCTCTAGAATCCATGAGATGTCTCGCTGCGTTTCTTGCAGGCTTTGCGCTGCCCAGTTTGCTACAAGCAAGCACCTCAACCGTCACATGACAATCCACCACGAAAGGACGAAGAACTTCGCTTGTTCTGAGTGCTCCTCCAGGTTTTACAATAAGTAAGGCTTTATCTTTTATTAATGTTATCCCAGAGGCTTCGAAAGAACAAGTTCTTCCCAAATCTGTCACCGCCTTAGTGAAACCCATCATAAGACTAAGTAATAATAATTATTCTTGAAAACCATAAAACAAAAATATATAAGAGAACAGTTCTCTTTTACTTAGTCGATGGGAATCTACGGATGATTTATCTCAAGACGATTCGTGTTTTAAAAAAAAACATCGAAAGTTGATCTCTTAAAACGCATCTCAGTTATTGACTTTTCTGATAGTAAGGAACTGCTGAAATCGGCAAATAAGTTTCTACAGTTTCTTATATTTTAGGATGCGTGATTCTGATTAGGATATTAAGTCTGACCCAGAAGAATAGTAAGATCAGAGCCGACTTATAATGATGAAAGATGGTTATATGAAGTTTGGAAATAAGCAACCTAGATAACTGGTGCTCCGAGGAACTGTAGCTAATTGTGCTTGCAACAGCGCGTCACTCAGGGAGCTGGCTAGGTGACACCTTGCTAATCCACTTAATCGATGTGTATCGTCTATCGAGATAATTGATAGCTAGAAATCGATATGTCTATCTTGGCGGCAATTAGGTCTCTCACAGACGGCTGTCTTTTTGCAGGACCAGTCACCTCCGTGCCTAGATGATGTTCAATAATTCGGTAACCTACACGTTATCGGTTCTAAATATAAATCAATATTGACATGTGTGAAACTATTTGTGCTGTTTAAATTCGCAAGCTCGTTTGTCTAACACTTACAGAAAAACTCTAAATTGATTACGTCGGGTAAGGTACTAGAAATTATATCTATAAAAAGGATTAAACTTCCTTTTAACTTAATTGCACTATCCGAAAAACAGGACTTTATGAGTTAATACTTTAAACAAAGCTGGACTTTAAACAAAGTATACTTTTTTTTTAACTTTTATGATGTTACTAAATAATATAGTATTTCAGTATCTAATAATCTAGTCATTGGAGAACTTACTTCAATTTTCTTTCTTGATTGAAATGATAAAATTTCATATCTATAAACTTAGATGAAGAAAGAGGAAAAAAAAACGTTAATTATAAAAAAATAACTAGGAATAGAAAAATATAATATACACATACCCATCAGTATACACCTATCCAAACTCTTTTAAATGAGTTCTTTTTAAAGTTATCAGATTCGAACAAGATCTCCTTCTCCCATACTTTTTCACATTGATTTTCCCATACTTTCATAAAAAGGAAAAACTAAATTCAAAAGAATACATTACGATTCATTGTATATTGAAATCAGACCTAGGCAGTATTTCAAATAAAGTATTTTAAAATACAAAAAAATGTATATTTGTTTAAGCAACTTTCCAGTTTTTAATTAAGGCAAGGCAAATAACTCTCATGAGTTCTTAATAGACAACATTAAAATTTTATTGGACAACATTCTACTTTTATGCAGTGGACTGTATTTTAATGGATTGGTAGGTTATACTGATAGCTTACCATACTTATATCGGCTCAAAACATCTCTTTTTTACCTTGAGGGCGTCCTTGGAGCATCTGGATCATCTGCCACGACTGACTGCTGTTCTAGGGTCCGAGAAACCGGCATCTCTTGCGGATTAAGTGTTATCTTTTAGATCTCTTGATCTGCCCCCACCACTTCACCAATAACCCGTCGTAACGAGATAAAGTTGAGCCATTTTCATACAAACAATATTTGTACAGTGTTGTACAAAATCGTTCTTGATCTTACAAAGTGCAAGACTAAGACCAGGACCAATACTGGTCAAAAAAAGAAAATTAATCGTTTAATTTTTAATGTGAATACAAATCAAGGCAAAATAGTTACTAATACTTGACAATTTTTGTTATCAAATGCGAAGAATAAGTATAACCAATATACTTTTGCATTTAACTCTTCCAATTTTTCATTTGTGCTTAGTTAGGTTTCTCCTATCTGAAAAATTACAGTAATATCTCTGTAGGCTAATAGGTAAATGCAAGACTGTTGCGATGCTTTTGCGCAGGACAAAGACCAAGATCAAGATTTAGTGCTCATCAAGACTCGTCTTGGTCTCTCATTCGGACAACACATTGATGAATTTCTTCTCTGCGAAGTCAGACCATTCTCCACTTACTTTTTTATATATATAAAAGGGTTTTTGTCGTTTTGTCATTTACTGTGCTTTCCCAAACGTATTCGAAAGTTTAGCTCCATCAAAATATACTTATTTTTGCTACAAACCGACAAGATGAAAACATATCAATGCACGCATTATGTAAACACTTACTTTCAGGAAGATGTTTTTTGCATGACTCGCGAGAAAAAGTTGTCACGTTTCCTCATACTGATAAATAAGCATTGAATAATTTGAGTGAAGCTAGAAAAATAAAAAGAATAGGCGAATATATTATTAAAAATAAAACGAAACAGGCATTGCCTAAAAAAAAACCTCTTCTTCTCCACCTGGCTAATTAAAATTCAACAAAGAGCGGATATCATGATAAATGTTCAGTTATAGTCGAGATAGAGGATCAAACGGAAATAACAGGAGCAGTTATTTACGATAAATGAAAAGGAGAGAAAAAGGAATGGAAGCGATAGAGAGGAGGAATTAAAACAGTGACAAACGGGAGGCTTTATATTAGAAAGAAGGGCCAATTTTTTCATTTCTTTCAAAAAACTGGTCCCGACAAGGCGGCGCTAAAAATAAAAAATGTTTTTGAAAAATGACAAGGGGACAGGGGCGAAGGCTACCGGAATTAAATGATCAGTCATCATTAACTGGACCGGACAAGTAAGGATGAGTTCCTGCCTCCGCGCGCCGGCCTGCTCCACTCCAATAGCTCCGCGCTGTCGCTCCATAATTGTATCTGTGTCATCTTCATGGAGACGGATCGTGTTGTACTTGTTGTCTTCCTTGTCTATGAAGGCCGACTCGTCCTGTAGTGTCCGGTTAACTCGACACAACTTGTCTCTTATCAATAAAATTAATACTTAAAAGGATGTACTGTTCCTATTTGCTCGGATACAAATGGTAAGGAAGCACGTCGTTGAGTAAACAAAATTAAAATAAAATAAAGATTGTTTCTTGGATCTCACTAGCTTTACACATTTTAGGGTTCTCGAAGTATAAAAAAGCCATTTTTAAAAAACATTGTCGACACCATAATTCCCAACACCTAACGGCCAACTGATGTATATCTCTTCCTGTTTGTCTCGTTTACACATCTTGCGTATTTAACTAGATACTCTCAATAAATTACTAGGTACAATTAAATAATATTTTTTTGAAAAATGGTATGATTTTTGTGTGTTATTTGCCTCAATCCTTAACTTTGATGTATTGACTCTATTCTCATTGAAATAGTCTAACTCAATTGAGATATAAAACAGTACACTAGTGAGCTCCGCCACAAGAACCCTAAAAAAAAACAAAAAAAAAAAAACCTTTACTACAAATAACCACAGTACTCCCAATTCCCTGTCCCTCTCTTGAATGCACTCTGTGCAGTCCAAGAGGTCATGTTTAAGCCTTTTCCTATCCTCTATTCATAACGCCATATCGTATGGAGAGAATAAATAAATACTTTCCTTGCAAATTATTTTAAACATGCCGTTCCCATTCTGATCCCACTACCACATTTGTGAGATTGTTCCTCTGAAATTTTGGGGTGATTTTGTAGGTATGACTGAAGGTGATATTGAAGGTATGACTGAAGGTTCATGAATGTACAAATCAACTCGCCTATTTGGTCAACTATTCCAGTAACATCTAAGAATACTAACTTATTATTATTATAACCATTTAATATCACTAACTTGATTTAATCTTAACATCCATGTTTAACTTTACTTAATTTTCAGTGTTTTAAGGTGTAACTGATGTATTCATTGATTTCCTTTAAATATAATTTAATATTGGCTATTTCGATATTATACTAAAATTGGTAATGCAGTTCTTTATTTTAAGGTATATCGGAACAAACCTAAGTAAGAGTTCTACATCCTCTGATTTTACATTTTCAAATTGTAGTTGTCTATAAGAATATTGAGAAACTTGCCTTCTGTAAACTATAGTATTGCTTTTTTTTTTTTTTTTTTTTTTTTTTATGAGAATAACGAAGTAAATTTATTTACAGAGTTGGTACATCTCTTCCCGAGAGGTTGTTTGGACCTTCTGGAACTATTATACAGTTTTTATTATAGTATAGTTTATATTTATACGAAATTAATTCCCATACATACAGTTTAGTTGCCTAACTTTTTTTAAACAAATATATGTATACTTTTTTGAATTAAAAACTTCGTTAGATCTCCGATGTGTAACGCTCGGGTAAAGTTGGCTTTTGCTTATCGATTAAAATATCTCAAAAACTAAAAATCGGACCTGCATACTGTAAGCAAGGGAATTGTTCAGCATTTCATCCTCTTTGTAATGTGCAATTATTCAAAATTTTATCTTAACGCGACGCTGTGTTAGAGAGGCGAAAAGAAAAAAATATTGTCGAAAACGAGTTTTATGGAAGGTATGGATTAAAACATCTCAGAAACTGAAAATCGCATATTGTAAGCGAGGAAAATGTTCAGCATTTCATTCTTTTTATAATGAACTATTATTTATTATTTATATTTCGTATTAATAATAAATAATCTCGTCTTGTTGATGTTTTCACTTCTATCGTTTAGTCTACAGCTTACAGCTTAGTTTTTTTTTATAATAGCTTTTAGAAGTGGACTGCAGACGATTGACTTGAGCATTAACCGAGAGAGCGGAATGCCCCGGAGGCCCCGGGGGGGGGGGAGGAGGCAGTGGACACAGCAATATCGCTAATGAGCTGCCCTCTTTAATTGAACACGTACTCGATAGAGATTGCATTTTAATTTATAGCGCAGGAGATTTGTGGCCGGTTGATCCCCAGCCAATTTAGATCTTCTACGGAATCAGTCTGTTCTGGTCTTCTCCCATAGCACGGTCGCCGTCCAAGATAAAGGTAGGGGAGATCCTGGAAATGGGAGGTGGGTCTGGGAACAATGGAGTATTCTTCGTCCTGATAATATAATGTGCTAGTATATAACATCTTAGCACGGGTGCCCCGCTTGCTGGTATGTTCGGTACATTACCTCTTGAACTATTGTATTGATGAAATCAGAGGATTAAAATAAAAATTGTTGCAATGCTTTTGGAGTTCATTAGAACAAGTCTTAATTTATGAGACCAAGCATAACCATTTTTTTGTCTGTTTGTGGTTTCCAAGCTAGGATGTTGTTTAATTTTGTTGTTTATAATACAAAAAATAAAACTCGGAAGGACAGTGACATATCATTAATTTATTTTATAGGTTAAAAAAATGTTATTTTGAATTAACTAGAGAATGTATTCAGTTGAACGAAAATTCAATAAGATATTTTAAAACTCGTTCTCTTTCTAATAAATCTTACTAATCTGCAGCTCTGAAAGAATTGTTGGTAATTTTCAAGGTTTTTTTTTTCCCTTGCTCAAGTTTATATATTTCACTTGTTAATAAAACTAACAATAAATTAGTTGTGGTTTAAAATACAACCATCGAATTTCAAATATCATGATCAATATCACATTTATATAAAATTATTTGATGTCTGTACACATGGTTATTTGAAATTAACGGTGCAATAGTGGATCCAGGATTTAATTTTTTTTTTAACTTGCACTTAAAAAAAGTGTTCATTGGAACTAATATGCTTTTAGAGATAATTTTTTTATATGTTTTTTCTTGACATGTACTTAAATTTAGTTGCTGAAATTCATGCGTTATAATTTAAAAAAGAGTGGTGAAATAAAAAAAATATATACATATAAATATATATATATATATATATATATATATATATATATATATATATATATATATATATATATATATATATATATATATATATATATACTTTTTTTTTATTTCACCACTCTTTTTTTAAATTATAACGCATGAATTTCTGCAACTAAATTTAAGTACATGTCAAAAAAAAAAAAAAAAAAAATATATATATATATATATATATACGTTGAAAGATCATGCTCTCTGGAAGAGCCAGTGATCAGGCGGCATAATGGCGTTACTGCATATCATGCACTAGCGGATCCAGGATTTAATTTTGGGGGGGGGACTTCATATATATGACGATAATTAATTTGGAAAAAAAAAGAAGAAGAAAGAAATGAACTACCTATATGAAGTGGTGTTTAAGTGATTCTTGAATTCCTATTAAATGTAATTACACGAACAATAATACTATAAGAAATATATTTTTATATTTTTTTTCTATAAAACTTTTGTTCATATAATAAACCGAAGTTTAGAACATAATAAAATAATTGGTAGTTTGCATCAAGGTGCCGGGGGGGGGGAGGGGGAGTTAACTCTGGTATTAATCCTCCGTCTTTCGGACAGGGACTATGTCCTTATAGCCTAAAAGGCAAGGAAGGGGACGAAAAAAAAATAAACAAACTAAAATAAGATGAAGCAAAATAATTAGAATTATTATTATATAAATCACATCAATTTTAATTAATTTATCGTACCTATATATAGTATATACTATATACCTACATGTTTAGTAAAAGTCATGTTTTTTATATTAAAAGATATGCCTGTTTCATAAAAAATGACATTTTTATAAGGCAATATATATTGTTTTAATAAAGGTAATTAAATACAAATGCTATTCTTTTTCTCTGATTATATATACTTCAATAATAATTACAAACTTTTAGATTAACATTATATATTATTATAACGAAAGGCAAAATCGAATATTATTTTTTTAAAAGCTCATGAATAATTTTATTTAAATATTTAAATATTTTATTTAACTTGAAAACATTTAGAGAGCTACCATTGGGTAGTTACTTAGCAAGTGTTATTCATGTCATTATATCTATTCTGTCCAAATTTACTAGATGCATTTATGTAATACATTTGTAAATGTCATTATGAAATAAAAAAAAATAAAAAACTTGAAAACATACTATGTGTGATATATGTATTTTTATTAATTCTTAATATTGAAATAATTTTGGCTGTATTGATACATTATTATCATATTTTATGACAAACCTCAAAGCCTATAGAACATACTTGTACACATTTTACATGTTTTGCCTTACTCGTCCCACTGTGTGTCGGCGGACGTCCGAATGCTCCAAGAAATGAAAGTTCCACTGAAACAGCTCTCTCTAATCTTGGACCACACTTCGTTTCTTCATCTACTAAAGTCATCAAGGGTTGATTGATTCGAAAACGATTTCGATACCGCTTACGAATTGAGTAGCCAGGACCTAGCGAGAAGGCGCCGACGGAAGAGGTGTTCGGATGGAAATTGTTTTCGAAACTGTGGTCATAACTTACCCAGCGGTCGGTCCAGACATTCCTCGACGGACAAACGGCCACGTTGAAAACTCACACGCTTTTGAGTTATAACCACCGCCCTTATTAGGTTTTTAAAATATGTAATCCTCCGCGGGCAGTATATCTGCCCGCCCGGGCCGTTTATCAAGAGATTACCCACGTCACATATATTAATACATTTCAACTGTATCCTCAAGGCTCCCACTAACTGATGCCGGTCAATCTTTTACCTGCGCAAGCGCAATGGCGATAATTAATCCTGGCGACCTGGGGAAATATCGTCGTTCCGGGATGTATTTTTGTCGTCCGATGCTCCAAGATAAGAGGAATGTTTTATCGGAGTTCTTAAATATTTAAAAGAATTTTTAAAAATGACTTTTCATATAACATGTATATTAGCCTGAAGCTTATAAGCTCAGCATTTAAAAAAAAAAATATGCTAAATTATTCGAAGCTTATTTTTTTTTTTTTTCTTAGCCTACTTTATGGGGACATAATGCTGTGTGATTTGGAATTTTTCCAATAATAACCTATATTTGAAATATTAAAGGATTTGTCGATTTAGTTGCATTTTTTTGTGTTGTTTTACTATCGATATAAAAGGCCGAAATTCACAAAAACGTTCTTAAAACTTCAGCAACATCAATAATGTACTTACTGACTATTTTGCAGGAAATCTAAGTATGTAATATGAAAACACCTTTACCCGAAGAAGTTCCTATATATAATCAATTTCTTAATCACGGATTTCCGTGTCGATCCCGTCTAACTTCTTAGCAACATTGTTTAAGGATGATGTAATTTTAGCAACCTCAAGCTTTTTAAATATAATTTAATTAAACCTACTAAGGCCCAAAAAGGGTGAGGTGAGTAGGGGTTACTGATTTGTCGCCTTTTCTTTTCCCATCAAACTCAATATAAAATCATGAATGAGTTGATCTTAATAACACTCGTGAATAGGAGACTTGTGTCTTTGTATTTATATCCAAATTGATCTATATTCATGTATGTTTATTCATGACGATCATTATCTCAGAATATGATTTTTGTTTCTATTGTATACCATAGCTCTATTCCATGTCCCAACAAGTGAAAATGATTTCTCATTGGTCGTGGCCAAACCGCCTCTACCAGGTTACCGAGACTCCTTAGATCTAGCCGCTAAGCTCGTAGCCAGAAGCCGTATGAGTACCCCGCATAGCTAGATAATCGGCGACATAGAGGAGTACGCCCGGAGTCACGCCTATATTGTATGTTAAAGACGGAGGGATATAGGAGGAGCGATGAAGACACAATGGCCAGATGGCGAGATAGAGCTGACGAATGGGCAGATCCTATCGGGGCACAAGTCATTACCACGTTTACCAGGCGACTGCTCTTGCTCTTTTTGGCTCTCCTGTTCGGGCCTATAATTAAATCAGGTCCTCCTTACCTCCACTGTCCTTGCCCGGCTATGGCAGACCTTACTCCTCCCTCTCCTCCTTTCTGTATAATAGATAATTGTCTTCTGAATAATACGGTATCCTCTGGATATATTTATATCGCATCACGACTATTTAAGGATTATCTGGAAATGCTGATGCACTAAAAAAGTATCAGTTACATTGCTCTAATCAAGCTTATTTGGGCTCTTAGGAAAAAGGTAAATAGGTCGAAGAAAACATCAAAACTCTGCAATATCAGATATTTCTTATATTATACAATGCACCATTTTTTTTTTGGCTTTATAATAACGCACTTTTTGTTACATTCCTAATAACTGTCTATATAAAATATAGTTCTTGGCTTTCATGAATAGTTTTATGTTTAACAATACTGCCAGTAATAGTGTTTCCACATGTCATTTACTTGTAAAATATTTACTTTCAATGCCCCTGTCTTTGCACACAAAAGGATTAATCTTAAACATTTTTACAGTATCCATTAATTGTTGCAGAGCCAGCTTAGAGAAGCACACCCAACGACACCAGGGCAAGAAATACCCCTGCGACCAGGAAGGTTGCATCTTCAAAGGTCGCTCTGAAGCAGAGCTGCGGACACACAGGGCAACGCACGGCAACGAGAGGAACTACCACTGTAGGCATTGTCAGTACTCTGCCAAGACAAGGGCACAGCTGTTCAAGTAAGCATATAATATTCAATCGTGTTATATACTCGTATATATTATATATATATATATATATATATATATATATATATATATATATATATATATATTCAGGTTATATTCGCATATTATTAGCAATGGGGCAAATCTAGAGTGCCAAATTATGGGGCACACCAATATCATATGAAGCGTGTTTAAAGTTGGGATTAAATCTGACAGTTGTGCAGATCTTTCTTGCCAAAAATTTATTCTATAATTGTTAATATTCTTTTTTTTTTTGTGTGTGTTCAATTCTTCACCCTCACCTGCCATGGTAGTGACAATTAGCAGATTTGTTGTCAGGTAGAAAATGGCATGGCGAAGAATAGAACCAAGAGCACCTTTTCCCTGGTCTGTTTACATCATAAATCAGGAAAGGAGATCTCTCATCCAGCTCCTTTTCTGTCGCCTCCTGATGAGCATTTCAGCCTTGGCCATGTCATTGATAAGTCCATTGTGACGTCCGTGTAGTTCAAGATGAAATCGGGAATAGAGAGTATGAATGTGCTGGTCAATGATCGGTTGTCTTAGGTCGGTATATAAAGTCTTGTTGTTGACATAGTAGGGAGCTACAGTTATTATTCATAAAATTTTAGATTGAAAAGATTGTAGTTTTTGTAAGTGAGTCTTTTTAGCTGAACCGTAAATCTGTGAGGCGTATTCTACATTTCATTTTTTTTTATAAAAATAGTAAAGAAACAAGTTTTGTAAATTACGTATTAGCTTTTTTAAACCAATCATGAACAATGTAAATAAATAAAATTTCGGCAGAACAAACACACATAAAGAAAATACAAACAGCACAATCGAAAATTTGACGAAAAATTGTTAACGCTCCTAGGTACATTTCAAATAATACTATACATAACGACATAAACACCCCAACAGTAAAATCCTACATCCACGACAAATACACTACATTTCATTTTTCAACCCAAAATCACTCCAATCCCCTGGTTCTTTCTATCTCTTGCTCCCTGTTACCTGAACGGCGGAGATTAAGAAGAAAATGACCAAGAGACCTACTATATCGATATATATATATATATATATATATATATATACTTTTGTTTCAATGCTATTTTTTTCTTATTTTCCTAAAATAATAGGCTTATGTACGGGATCGAAGTTTATCGGAAAGGTGGTCCGTTTATGTTGGTTTCGGCGATTTCTGTTCGGATGCACCGCTAAATCTCCAAATTTAATTCAGGTTATAAAGTTTATATGTGAAATGAGTTGGTGTTCAACTAGGTTGATTTGTGGTGGTGATATGTGTTCATGTTTTTACTCTCGCTGTTTTTTTTTTTCTCGCGGATTTTTAGTTTTGGCACACATCTAAAATCCCAATGAAATGTGCTAAAAAAAAGAGGAGAAAATACAGTTTACATTGCTGCAATTATTTTGTTTATTTTGGCTTTGAGCCGCAAAATCCTGGGGTCATCAACGCCTGTTGGTCATTTATCTTTCAGGAGTTCAGAAACTCCTTAGAAAAAGAAAAAAATAATAAAAAAGTAGAAAATAATAATAAATAAATGGTTATTTTTTTCAATAATTCTTTATTGAGATATATTACAATCTGTCACATCTAAGGACAATATTAATAGTGATAAAAGAGTAGATCATTCTCACTATGTACAATAAATAAAAATAAATAAACAACAAAATATAATACTAAAAGTAAATGTATATAAACTAAAAGAAACTGAACTAAATAAATCAAAATAACTATTTAAATACATACATGCTTTTATACAATATTTTCAATGCCAATTCACTCAAGATCTCCGAGCCAAGCCTTTCCCCCCACTTCTGAAAGGAAAAGCAGGGCTCTAGGATATCCCAGTGCCTCTCATTTAGCTGTATTACTAGGATTAAAGACCAATAATAAATATATGAAAAATATTTAAAAAAAATGATATGCATTTCTATATTTTGTTAAATAACCTATGGGTTTTAAAAATGTTTTTAACTGCTTTTATGTTTGATTCGTCAATATTTAATAGCACTGAAACATCCGGTCTAAGAGATAATCCATTTAAGCTTGTTGTGTAATAAGAGCAATCCTGAAAAATATGAATGACAGTGAGAGGGCTGTCGCAGTAATTCTTCAGCAAGTTACCACCGGTCACTATCGTGATAGGATCATGATAGTCAATATAGCAAACAATATTAATATTAATATCAAGAGAGAAGGAAGACTCCATAAATCGGGAGATCAGAGGGGACAGTTAGTCGCAGATGCCGTCCGCCAGGTGCCGCTAATTATTCGACATCTGGCCCTATCTACCTCCGTGTACGATCTACCTCCATGTTCTACTCATTTCGATATTATTGAGAGCGTCCGTCTTCGCACAGAGTTTATCTTCCAGTTCAGAACTACAAGCAGGATTGGATACTATAAGAACTGAACCTCTTCACTGTAACTTCTATCTAAGATTATAGCACCAGACATTACCTGAACTCAATTTGCATAACCGATTGTAATGAAGTAGTTTCTTTATGATTGAATATAACGCCAAAATTTAAAGGTGCGTTTAGACATTTCACAAACTATGGGACAAACAAATAAATAAATCGTTTTTTCACTTTTACTTTGCTAGTACTTTTTGTTTCTTGTTTTCCGCCTGCTTTCGCCAGCAAGGGGAATAAAATAGACAGTTTAGTTCAGCGATAATGTCGCTATTATGTGTGTTTCCAACAGTTTGTGAAATGTCTAAACTCAGCTTAATAAGCCCACGGCAGATTACAACATTTTTTTTAAGTATAAGTGGAATCTATCCTAATTAATGTGCAGCAATTTCGTTATTTGGGATCCATAATTGAAAGTTAGGGGAGAATAGAGGAAGAAATCCAAAAAAGGATCACAAATGGTAAAAAAACTGTGCGAATGCTTAATTCTTTACTTGGAAGCAGCAATATTTTACTAAAAACGAATATACAAAACTTTGATAGAAAGCTTAATGCTATATGGTTCGGAGACATTGCCCCTCAGTTTGACCCAGGGAAAAAGATTTCTTCCAGTTGAAATGGATTTTTGGAGGAAAGCTGCTAGGATATCAAGGATCGAAATGGTAAGAAACGGCACTATAAAGGAGAGATTGGAAATAAAGCAAAATATCCTAGAGGTAATGGCAGAAAGGAGATTCAGATGTTATGGCCATGTGAGACGTATGGGCAACGATAAGATACCATAGATAACTATGGATTGGGATGCAGAGGGTAGAAGAAGGAAAAGAAGACTTCCCAGTTATATAGAAGAGTGGTGCAGTGTATGGCTGGTAGGGGACTGTCGGAGGAGGAGTTTGGTTGAGGAAAGCTTCATATTGAACTAATAAAACTCCTAAATAAAATAAAAAGTATAAGTTCGTTTGATAATATCGCCGTACATACAAAGCATAATAGTATTTGTGCCTCCTATATTTTTATAAAATTGCTTTATTCAGTTCCTAATGTAATATGACATGCGAATATACTGATATTGAGAACTTATCGATGATTTGCTTCTCTATAGTTTTTATATTTTCATAAATCCATTTTATTTGATTTATCGAATTTTGAAAAGATTAAATGAATTAAAATAAATTTGATAAAGTAACGACACTTAATAAGGGCTTAAGAGGTCTCTGAACCACTTTAGTGATTGGCGGCCTTAGATATTTAGTGCGCCCTGGGAATGGCGTCATCTCCTTAAACAAATAAATTTATTTCCTAAGCTGTTTTATATTACATAATATTAGAGTTAAGCTTCATTTAATATATCTCTAAGTCGTATACGACTTAACAAGTGGATTCAAATGATGTCTGATAGATAAGCGAAGGTTGTTGTATTTGAGGTTTATGCACCATTAAATTAAGGGAATGTATTAATAATTGTATAATGAACAGAAGCAATATTTACAGTGTCTATATTTTTGTGAATATACATATTCTTAAGTCTAGATTAATATTGGCAGTAACACTTAATTTTGTAAGATAAGAGGGAGTCTTGTTAGAAGACACTTTGTAAGATAGAGTTTTGATGGGGCTAAACTTTAAGGATGTATTGTAAATCTTGATACATCGGTGCATCGTAATGCATCAAATTAACGCCGACGCTATAATATGTCTAAAAAATTAAACTAAATGTACAATGTTCAGATTTCAACGAGAGAAAATTAAAATGATCAGATTTAATTTTCTAAAACGTTTCTTAACACCTTAAAGGTGAGATATTTTCGAATAAGCTAGTCTCGATTCGTCAAACTTTAAAGTTAGTCGTTAAAGTCTCATGCGGATGAACCCGTGCACCACTATTACTAATGTCCTTAGTAATATTAAATAAAGAAATGTGTGAAATTTGAAAAGAAAATGTGTTTTCAAGTATAGTCTGGTTGCACTCCAAGATATTTTATTACAAATTAAATGCTTCATATTTTTAGCTAGAGTTGCAGATATTATAGAGATTATAAGGTTTATGAATAATATTGTTAAAATTATTCTTCCAATAGCTACTGATTCCATGTCTGTGTCTAACAATCAAATATCATCATCGCCAACCGATGCACTTTTGATGCAGGTTCTTGCAGAAATCTGCATTAAATTAACATTACAGTATTGTTTCATTACACGTATTCAGATTACGCTATAATTTTAAATAAGAGTAATGGTGGAGTTAAAAACTTAGGATGGTGGAGAGAAACAAGTTTAAACAAATAAAATAGATGAACCACAAAATGGATCTCTAATAATCGAAACTCTAGAAAAGAAGATGTTTCATTAAGCCAGCTTCTTAGGTATTTTGAATTTTCGTTCATTTATTTACAGGTTACATCTATTGTTCAACGATTTCTACTAAACTTAGTTAAAACTGATATTCGTCAAAAAGAACGACAGATATTTTAACTTTGAATTTAATGAGCCTTAAATCCTGGATTCAGTGACTTTATACCCTTCTTTAGCGGACCTCGGGAACGACTCCGCCGTCATCCCTATATCAG